CGCATTAAATTTTGAAACTAAATTCATTAGATAAAAGATTTAAACATCAAATTATTCCTTAACACAGAGTTGAAATACAAAAATATTTATATTAAAATTTAGAATAAATTATACTGATACGCACTGAACTTTTAGGGCATTTTTTATTTTAATAACCAAACTTTTAAAATCTATATTATAATAATTAACATTTTAATTCACTTTCATTGTGGCCACTATAGTTAATTGTAGTTAATAAATATTAACTTGGCATGTTAAAGTCTTATCCTAAAAGACTATAATTTTAAAAATTATCTATTGTTGCGAAAATACATATTACTAATGATCGAAATGATCGTTGGTCAATCTCAATAATAATAATAATTTATTTAATCAAAAAATTAACATATTTTAATTTCAAGTTAATCTTGTACCACGTGAGTTGTTTCATATTAAACCACTCACGTTACCGTCCGGCACGTGCTCTCACGTTATCAAATGAAAAGTTCCTTCGGTTGTTCGAAGCATCCATTGACCATCATCCGTATGGTTCTATTGATATTTTGGATTGTATTAAAATGCATTGATAATATTAATATTCATATGCTATGACAATGTTGTATTTAATATTTAGTAATTTTACACTCACATGGGTGGCTGACACCACCAAGGCACCAACCCCCGCCGTGTCACGTGAAGCCTGTACCCTACACTTGCAAAACCCATGTTTTACAAATTTCAAAATAAGGCTAAACTAAATATCTAGTCACCTCATTATCACTTTGGTTCCATTTTTGTACCCAACTATTTTTTTAAATAATCAATAACGTTACGTTTTGGTTTCATTTTGGTCACTTACCATTAAAAATTGATGGTGATGTTCATGTGTCACCAATGATAATGTCATGTTATCATTGAAAGAATAAAAAAGTCATGTTAGTAAATTTGTTAATTTTTTAATGACGGGTGACTAAAATAAAATCAAAATGTAATGTTAGTGTTGATTTTGAAGAATAAAATAGTTAAATGATTAAAACATAAGTAAAGTGATAGTTGAATGACTAAATATATAGTTTACGAAAAAAATAATTACTGAATTTCAGAATTTAAAAAAAAGACAAATAAAGTGAGTGAGGAGAAAAGATAAAATCCAGTAAAAAGGAGACCTCCACGCCAAGCAACACCCTCCGTTCCGCACCTTCTCTTTTTCAGCTTTTCTTTTTAATTTATGCCATATATATATATATATATATATATACAGGGATAGGATCCATAATTCATTTATATAATATTTTTTTTAATTTTTATATAGATTTAAAATTATTAGATGAGTGAAAATAAGTTACTGAAATTAATTTATTATTTTTTTAGTAAATATATTCTCATTTTCTACTATTAATCTCAAACGTCTATTTTCACTCATCAAATAATCTTAAATCTATGTAAAATTGAAGATTTTTACATTGTATCATGCATATATATATCATGGGTTAAGTAGAAGAATTGCATTTAATATAAATAAACATTTTGTTATTGAAATTGATTTTAAATTTAATTTTGTATTTAAATTAGTTTAGTCAATTTGAAATACAGACTTGGTTTTAAGGTTCAGCATAACAACTATTTTTTTTTGGTTAAGTAGAGTCTTTAATATTAAAATTTTAATTCAAATTAGTACCTATAATAAATGGTTTATTTAAACTAAATTAAATTTAAACCATAAAGCTAAGATTTTGTACCATCAAATTAAAGCTTGAAACTAATTTGAAATATAAAAAATTATTTGTATTAAAATTTAGAGTAAATTATGATGGTAGTCACTAAACTTTTAGGGTTCTCTCACTTTAGTAACTGAGCTTTAAAAACTTACATTATAGTCACTAGCTTTTTTAATTCACTTTAATTATGATCACCTTCATGAGCTCTCGTTAATAAATGGTAATGTGACCTGTTATAGTATATTTTTTTATTAAAAAAAATCTAATTTTCTAAATTGGCAGTTTCCATAAAAGCCCAATTTTTTCTTATGAGCAGAGTGGTCGCTGGTTAATCCCAATAGTAGATCAGAAATGTCTAATTTTTAAGTTTCTATTATCTTTTCGCAGCATTTCATGACCAGTCCTGTCACCATTCAATGATTTTTTCAGTCCAAAAGTTCACCAAACTTATCAACATCTTATTTTTTTCTGTCTTTAATTCGATTGAAACTCGTTAGATAACCTTCTAACCTCCTTGAATCCTAATCAAAACTAAAAAAGTAATATTTCCTGATCTACCACTATCAATCATCATATCGACTTGAAACCAAATTATGTTAATTTTCTAGGCAAACAGGTCTTTTCAATTATTGGAATTAATATATGACCCTCCATTAATCACAAATTTGGCCTTTTGTGGCAGCTAAAAATTTGGAACCTTTTTCCCCTCTTTGAGGTATTACATTTCCTAGGTAATTACCGAAATTCGAACCCACATAAGATAAGATAACATCAACATCCTCATCCACTCGACCAATTAATGAATTTCTTTGAAAACAATACTTTAACACATCACATCCATATTTTCTAAAGGATGACAATGATTGTGATCATGATGAAAATAAATTAAAAGTTTATTGAATTTTAAAAAAATTAATGAATAAAGTATAACATCCTAAATGTTTAGTGACTATTATTGTAGTTTACCCTACAATTTATATTTAATATATTTATAGGGTTTACTGAAAAAATTAAGTGTTGAACTATATGTGTCTAAATTATTTTTTCATTCAAGATAGGCGTTTAACATTTTTAATATTATCATTTTAGGTGTCTACTCTGTCATGATCGTTAAAAAAATCCTTATTTGACATGTATCATGTTTATAAAAAAATTAAAAAACCTCAAGTTATAATTATTATTGAAAACACCTTAAATTTCTCTAAAATCATAAAAAAATCCTAATTTCAAACCTCATTACCGTCACCGACCATCACCATTGTTGTCTCACCAATTTCCTAAAATTTCTAAAATTCAGTACTTAAAAGCCCTAAAGTGAATAAAGAATACAGGTCGGAGACTTATTTTTGAATTAAATCCTTTTTATAGCATATAGATTTATATGCAACTGTCAATAAATCTTATGCGCACTTCAAGGTGGACTCACGTACGGATTGGTGTAATTCGGTAGGCCCCACTTTTACCCTCATCCCTCCCCTTCTCTACATGCCACGTGGTCACTTCCCAAGCATCTAAGCTGGCGCATTGTAAGTGAGTCGAGTTTATCAACTAAACTTTTAGGTTAAAAACAAGTAAAATGTTTGAATTTGAACGAATTCTATCATTTTTTAACTCTTGAATTTAGGTCGTTTATTTTCATTTGATTATTCGAGTAAGAAATTAGATTAAATGCAACATTTAATATCAAATATAAATATAATGGTTTATATTTATATTTAAATTCAAATTTTAAAAATTAAATTAAACTTACAAATTATTCAATTACGGATATGATGCTTAAATTTGATTTGTCTGCTAATTGAAATTATTCTAAATGTGTAAACAACTATTGATATACTCATGGATGAACACATGATTTTATGTTAAGAGAGTGAATTTATAAAATTTTAGGATATGATAAACTTATAAAATTTTAAAAGATAAAAATATATTATCAAAAAAACGTTATATATATATATATATAAATTCGAAAATTTTATGGCACGAACACCCCCAATCTATTGGGTCAATCCCTGGGTATGCCTTTTATTAGTTTTGCACCATTTGTTTACCGTTGATTTTTTTAATAAATGATATTATTAAATCCAAAATAAACATGAAATGGTTTACAATTACCAAATCGGTAGCCTTTTGTTGATTATCTAAATTATACTCACAAAGATTGATTAATAAAGATATTATTTTTTATTAATATAAGGTTAACAAATATGACGAGAAAATTATATGAAAAGAGGTATACGTACAAAGGATTTCTCATTAAATTATATTTCTATACCGGTTGGCGGAAAATTATATACGAGACGAGATAGATCGTGAGTTATTTGAGTTCAATTTGATCAACCTCAATCAACATTTAAATTGAATGGGCTCGAATCGAGCTTGAACTCGACTTGAGTTCTTAACGAGCCGAAGTGAACTACTTGATACTTGATTCAAAAAGTTCACGAATAACTAAAAAATATAATATAATAAAATTTTAAAACTTCAAATTAAATTATTAGCAATATTAACATTTCTATGTTATTTTTAAAATGCAATATAAGGTTTTTGTGTACTTAAGGTTAATAATTTAGCTTAACTTTGAGCTTTAATTAACTAAGATTGAGAATGTTTCGAATTCAAAAAATTTCGAACTTGAGTCACATTTCAATTTTTAACTTCAAATTCGAGCCGAGTTTCATTTTTAAGTTTAGGAACTTTCAAATCGAATTGAGTTTATATTTAAAATTTTTGAATCAAAGTTGAATAATACTCGAACTCGTTCGCAATCATAGTGGAAGGTGGAAAAAGGCGGGGAGAAAGATAAAATCCTGGCCGTCAAATTCATCAAGTCGAGCTGTACTTATCGTGCTGATAAGTGGGTACATACAGTTTGGTTTAGAAAAATAGCGAATATCTTTTTTAAAAAAATAAAACATGTAATTTAATATAAAAGCGCATATCCCGAGGTTAAAAATTATTATTATTTTGAATAGCGAGGTTAAAGAATTAAAACAGGAGTCGGACGCTAAATCCACAAGCCTCAGCGACAAACTGCTACTGCTTGAATTTGAACACACTCACTATAAGTAATATTATTATTTTTATCTTATCCCCTAATCATTGATCATTTACTTTTTTAACTAATTCATCTGCAGTAAATAATTGTTAATTATTAAACGCTTTGTCAGTAACTCCATTTTTAAGCAATGATTGTGTGTGCAATCCTAAAATTAACAGCATAGTCAAAATCATCCTTTTTAGGTGTCGGCCTGTCCAGTTGAAACGCAAATAAAACCTCTTCCTCTTTCTCAAAACCACAATTCTCTTCCCCCATAACCAAATTCATCAGAATTATGGAAGCGCCTGAGTTCTTTCAACCACCGCCCCCCGCTGACCATTTCATCGTCGAGGACCTCCTCGATTTTTCCAACGAGGATCCTGACGTCTCTCATTTCAACTCCTCCGTCGCCGGCGATTCCATCGGCTCCTCATCCGTTACCGCTGTTGACAGCTGCAATTCGTCCTCACTTTCTGGTTCGGCACCGAATTTCGCGGGTGATGTTGGTTGCCGTAGTTTCATCGATGGTCAGTTCGCTGATGACCTCTGTGTGCCGGTAATTAAAATTTTCGTTGTTGCTTCATAATTTCCTCGCCAAACCAAACAAATGATATGGATTCTTTATCGAAATTCTTCAAATTCTAAACTGGTGATAATGGTTGTTTTATCTTTGTTGAACAGTACGACGATTTAGCTGAGTTGGAATGGCTGTCGAATTTCGCTGAGGAATCGTTTTCGAGTGAGGACTTGCAAAAGCTCCAGTTGATATCCGGGATGAAAACCCGACCCACCGTATCATCGGATACACGTGGTTTCCAACACGAACTTCGCAACCAAATTGACAATGTCATCGATAGCGGTGATAACAGTCTGGTTTTCCGTCAGGACATGACGGTGCCCGCCAAGGCAAGAAGCAAACGCTCCCGTGCAGTGCCATGCAATTGGGCGTCCCACCTCCTTGTCCTCAGCCCGACAATTTCGTCTTCCGAACCAGATATCGTCGTCCTGGTGCAACCACCTCCCCAGAACCATCCCGGTAAAAAGCCCGTAAAAACGACGTCGTCGAAGAAGAAGGACGGAGGCGAAGCGAGTTCGGACGGGCGGAAGTGCCTGCACTGTGCTACGGATAAGACGCCGCAGTGGCGGACTGGACCCATGGGCCCGAAAACACTATGCAACGCTTGTGGTGTGAGGTATAAATCAGGGCGACTTGTGCCCGAGTACCGACCCGCTGCCAGCCCAACATTTGTGCTCACCAAGCATTCAAATTCTCACCGTAAGGTCCTTGAGCTTAGGCGACAGAAAGAGATGGTAAGAGCCCAACATCAATTCATGCATCACCACCATCATCAAAACATGATTTTTGATGTATCCAACGGTGATGATTACTTGATCCACCAACCCATGGGTCATGATTTCAGGCAGCTGATCTAGTGAATGGTAGATGAGAGCTCCTAACTTTTCCCCAGACTTAATTTAGCTACTGAATTCAACTTCATATTTTTTTCCTAACTAATTTTCTTTCCTTTTTGGTTACACCATTGAATGTTCCTTAGTTGTTGTTATTTCCCCTTGGAGAACCAATTTTCTTGATTCAGGTAAATTACTAAAATTTTTGTTTTCATTAAACTTTGCTTTTATATTTGAACAACTTCCATTAATTTTATTTGAAATGTTGAAATATTTGTATCGGAAATTATTAATGTTTCCCCAAATTCTAAGTTGAGTTCGACGAGTAAATCTTTTTTTTTTTAAATTTAAATTCCAATTGATATTTTAACTCATCAGTATAGGCGTAGTTATTTTGATGCATGAATTTCCACAATGTCACATGGAGGCTTTCTTAATTGCCTTAAGAGCATAAGAAAGAAGCATAGTAGTAAGGTCCAACGGCCCCCGCTTACCTGGACATTTGTAGCTAAGCTAATGATTAAAAGGTTAAAACATTAGAAATAAATAAATCCCAAATGCCAAACTTGATGTTTTTAAGGTAATCAATGCACGAAACTTTAGAAGCAAAATGGAGCTTTGTGTGACCATTTGATGCAGCTTTCACTTTCAATATTACAGAGAATGTTATAGCAGTAAGTTGATTTTTGTGGCTTGTACTTGAATCCTGTCTTGTTGGCTATGTTTTTGCACAAAATTTCCACCCTTTGACACTGGAATAAAAAATCGTACGAATCAAACGATTTCAATAATTAAAAGAGATTATTATTATTATCCTTTAAAATCTTAGGTTCGAACACGACCTTATCTCACATATTATAATATACATCTAATTATTCATTTCAATAGGTGAATCTATTGAGTCTTGCCTTCGCAGCTCCATTAATACCAATTGACAATAAGGATAGAGAAGGGCTTTCAGTTGTATATTCTCATAGCGGTCCACTATCGGAATAGAGGCCGTTATATAGTGATTTTGGTGTCGTTCGAAACCGTTATTTCATGACTACAATAACACCCGTTATGCCTCCAATCGCGATAACTGCAATTTAAATTCATGATGCAAAAAGTAATTAAGTAAACGTAGCTAGACTCTGCATGATCAATCATATTAATGTAGATGAACATAAGAGAATCTTCAAATTAGACTAACAAAAAAAAGAAATATCAATCATTTCCACATGCAAAATTTCATTTCTAATCTGATCACATACACATTTCTCACCATTTCGCCATTCATAAGATCCCTTTCTATATTTAAGTTTCTCTGGGTTTTCTTTAAGAAAGCTAAAGCTCGTACATTAAGAAGTATAGCAATTACACACACATATAAACCTAACCAACAAACAACATACATTGATAGCTTTAGATTGATAAGTGATTGGAGATGAATATTATGGTGCCATGAGATGAGACGACATAAACAAACAGCGTTTCTTAGTTAATTAATTATACAGTTCCAAAAAGAAAGTCGAACATTTTGGGGATGATCAAACTCCTGTATTTACACTGCAAAGCATACCCTGAGTCAGCGACCTCGAACTCATTGAATCGGTTCTGAAGACACCGCTGAGTGGAGAGGCAGCAGAGATTGAAGACAATCCAATTCAGAAACAGACCTGAAAAGTTTAAAAGCACAGAAATTTTGGTGAGTTTGAAGTGAATTCATTTTAAGTTGAATATTCGACTTGTTAATTTTCACAGGTCTACGAGTCATGATCCGGGTCATAAAATTTGACTTAATAGGTATCCGACAATTTGATTCCTTATTTATTTATTTATTTTTTAAAATTAAATTTTGCATTCTCTATTCCTAAATTATTTCACCATAACATTTAAAATTATTTTTCAAATCATTTCTTTTATCTTAACATTTAGTTGTAGTTCTTTAATTATATTTCTTTTAGATTTTATTTAATTTTAAAATTTTAAATTCTATTTGGATTATGTATTACGAAAATTTGGAAATAGTGTATATATATGAATTTAATATTCATTATCCGAAGACGCGGACATCTAATTTTTACAACTACTCGAATAACAAATACTCAATATTCATATCAACAGGGTTGGTTCAAGTGGATCAGGATACAAACCACATTTTTTACTATCCGAAAAACTAAGTACATGAATATTTGAATATCCGAAAAATAAGGTGATTGTCCGATCTAGTCAAGTTGAGTAAAAATTTTGTGTTATTTGAGTTGACGAGTCTTATTTTATAACTCAAACTTTATTTGATTTTTTTTAGTCGAATCAAATATATAAAATTCGAGTCGAGTTGTTTGAGTTAAAATTTAATTAAAAATATTTATAATATTATGATACTATTTTATTTTAATTTAAACAATTTTCTATAACCATATACAATACATATATATTTCTTCATATGTGATATACATATATCATATGATGTTGAGGGACTCGACTCGAACTTACAAATTAATTCACTAAAAGGTTTCGAGTTATTCAAATTCTATTTTATAATTTAACTAGTTTTTTTTTAATTTAATCAATTTATAAAATTAGGAATAGAGTAAAAAAATTAATTTTTTAAATCGAGCAGAGTTTTACTTTGCCCTGTCAAAAAAATGCAAGTACCCACTAATGAACACCGATCTTTTACGATAGCAAACGAGTCGGTGAGTGATAAATGCATTGGCGGAGGCAGTCGGACGTTGAGAATGTGAGACTTCAAAATAACGGACAATCCTTCCAAGAAATTGATACAACCGTTTCTCAAATCCACTTTGTAAGTCTTTTATACTTTACTATTTTCTGATATCAGAATATAATTTTTTTTAACTCCACCCATAAATGTACATATTGTTCTTTGATCTATAAATCCAAAAGACAGATAGATAAAAAAAAACTAAGGTAAAATGATGTGGAACAATTGTGAGCTTAGGTTTGTTTACAAGTACACATCTAGTCCACTACTTTTCTATTCAAGTCTTATGTTGTAAGGACTCTTCATATTTATGGTGTCCAACACATTAGCACACATGAGTATAGTCTGTATAGATATACGAACCCTTCAAATATGTGAAAATTTTGAAAAAGAATTGAACATACTCATGTAGGGCACGTATCCGAACCTAACACTTATTTTCCAAGTCTAGATAACATAGGAAGATACGGACTCATCTTTATTGGATTGCAAGGTAGGATCTGTTCATATTATTTCTTAGTTATTGATGACGCACATATACCATGTAAACGCAGTCACTCGAAGCTAAGATCTCTAGTGAAAATAATACTCCCTCTAATTACTTGGTTCACTAGAAAATATTGACCAGGATATTTTACACAAACATGCATGCAAGGGGCAGAGCCACCATAAAACTTGTTTTCTTACTATTGCTGACTATGGCTAAATGGCTACCCCTAAAGTTCAGGCTCATAGATATGACCTAAACTCAGTATTGTCTGGTTTAGAAGCTGAGTTCTGCAATCAAAATGTGTTCTAAATTGAAAAAAAAATCTCTAAAAAGTACTTATTACAGTAAACTACAAGCATTTTCTATTGTGGGAAGACACATGGAGTCCGATCTTTTAATCATGAAAAATTAAAGCAGAGAACAAACATTTCAGGAACTTGTCTTTTTCTTATTATTTCCATTAAGTTGGAAAAACATAAAGAATGTCTTGATCTATCATTGTGAATGGGATTTAAATCAAGTTATTCCTAGAAATACAACAGTTCAGACAAACACTAGGTTTCTTACCCTTTCCTTCTCTTGGGGCTTAAAACAAAGTCGTCTTTGTCTTCATCAATATCGTTGTTACTTCGTTTCTTAGATTTTACATCTCCATTTTTTGAACTCTCAGGTTTGCTACTTGGTTTCAAAGGTTTAATTGGAATGCCGGAACGAAGTTGTTTCTGCCTTCTCTGCTTCTTTTCGTATGCTTTTCTGGCTTTTTCAGGGGACAACAAGCCATATTCCATCATCCTGCAAATTCAACCATGTTATAACCATGCTCTATTCACAGTTACAAAAAATAAATATATCCTCCAGCATGCCGCCCGTTTTCCGAATACTCCTGAATGATTCAACCAACATTTTGTTTTACCATAAAGCTTCGAGCAAGAACCTCTCTGGTTGTCGAAGTAATGCAATTTTTTCTTCTTCGAGGATTCATGTTATGTCACCACAGGCCATTATTTTCAAAAAAGATTGAATCTTTTTCTGACATGTTAGCTTTAGCACTGATTCTACCTAAAACCTCATCAATCTCTCTACACTATTAGGACTAATATAATGAAGATGATGAACAGATATCAGAAAAAAGAAGCCTATGGAAGCAAAATGGATAAGGCAAGCAAAGTGCAATAGCATAATTCATTGCACATATAGAAGAGAACGGCTTCAGACTCGGTCATTTTAGCATCGATTCTTCTTTCTCAAAAGTGAAGAGAAGAATGCAGCTGTAAAGCTTAAGACTAGCCGTTCTATTCCTGAGTAATGCAGATAACCTCTGTGTATATGTAGGAAAATAATAATAGTAATGAAGTTCGGAGTCGACCTTTCAGTGCTAGGCTAGCACAACCACTACCTCAACATCTACCTGATTCTTCAGCCCTATCAGAAAAATGCCAACCATTTTTGCTTGCCATCTAAATGAACAGCAAAGTCCATACTCCATATACATGTTTTTCTGATTAACCCACAAAGTTTCCGTTTTACATCTAAGCCCTAAGGTACTCTTGAAGTTTCTATTTCAGGCCTCTAATACGATCGAACAAACATTAGTTAAGAACATCTGTATTAGTAGTTCTTCATGTTATTTTGAGATCCCTATTGCAGGGTCGGAAAAAACTGAAACATGTGCTCTCTTTTGTTTGACAGAACTATGCACCTGAAGAGATGTGCAAGTTCACTTTATGCAGATTAACTTACAGTTTCCATTCAGGGAGGAAAGCTTATTTAGTAGGCGAACACTCTGGGGAGACTAAACCCTTAGAATAAGAACGGTGAATGCCCTGCACGATACTTACTGATGCTATCAGGCCATGGAGAAAAGAACTAGCATCTGATAAGAGATGGGGAAATGCCGGTATAAGCGATGGTGGCAGAATACGGGACAGAAAAAGTTTGGCTTGAATAGACTTTCTTCTACTACTGGTAGATTACTAGGCGGTATCTTCCTAAACAAACAACTACGAAGCATCAGATAAAAGTGATTACAAGGTAACATTTGTTCATAATCTTTCTTAGTCATTGACAACGCACACACTATAGACTCAACTACTCGAACCCAAATCCTCCAACGAGAGCAACACTCTCTCTTACAACTGAAACCACTCAATGGGTTCGAGATTTGTATAAAGTTATATATGCAAGAGGTAAGTATTGTTATAAGAAGGAAGCCTCACCAAAATTCTGCCATTTCACTTGTTGGTATTTGTTTTGACAAAGACTCATAAAATATTCGTAATGGTTCTCTCTGTCCAAAAAAAAAAGACATTAAACTCAATTATTAGAAACCGGGGAAATGCAGAGATAGAGATTATATGAAGAAAACCTCTTCAGGAGGATCATGTTTCTGGCCTGGCAAAGTGTAAACCTTCTTCTCCCTAACTTTAGGTTTTGTAATCGCAGTGGTTTTTGATGAACTCGAACTTGTTTTCGATTTTACCTTCAAAATCAATGAAGAAACAAACCAATTTCATACATTTTAGGGAGAAAATACACAAAACTGCTAAATCTACTCCCTTAAATTGGTTGACCAATCAATCCATCATTAGATTTACTACAGGTAAGCAAATCAAACTTAGAAACTAACGATTCACTGTAACAAAAAAGGAAACCCAGATCATCAAATTGAGTAACAATCGATAAAAACCAACAAATCTAAAAAAAAAAAGAATTTAACAAGGAAATTTAAGATGGGTACCTCTGTTTTTGTTACGATGGATTTTTGCTTAGCATCAACAAGCCGTTTGCTGGAGCTTTCAATCTTCTTCTTGTTGATGGAAGCATCAAATTTTGGCTTTGAAGAACCATCTTGGCCACTGTTCTTCACCCTAACTAAATTGGGTTTGGTCTCGGTGGCCATTATTAGATTTAATTTTTCTTTTCAGATTTGAATTATCTGTAGATGTGCTATCCTGATCTGATCAAATCTCTTCTCTGATTCATGTGTTAAATTAGTAAATGATGAAATGCAGAAAATAGTTAGGCTGATATGAAGAAGAGAAAAGTTGAAACTTTTGATGGTTATTGTGGTTTAACGACTTTTTAACCATGCGTTTTCTTTTCCCTACTGGCTGAAGTTGATCATGTGAAATTCTTTTGGTGCCCTTGTGTTTTATTTTTGCACCAAATGCATTGGAGGCTAAGGGATAAGACGGTCAGTTATGAATAGGATAAATTAATACCTTAATTATTACTATTGTTTTGTTTTAGTGAATATAGTAATTTATACGTTTAGTAATTTAATTATCATTATTGTTCCATTTTAGTCGCTATACTATTTTTTTTTAAATTATGTTTAATATCATATTTTATTTTTATTTTAATCATCATCCGTTAAAAATTTATATAAATTTTTTTAGTGATGACGTGATATTATCTTATAGTGACACATTAATATTTTTAAAATTGAGTAATCGAAATAAAACTAAAATATAATATTAAATATAATTTTAAAATAAAAATGATTAGTTTATCAAAACGAAATAAAATTAATATATAATTTATCGTTCTGAATATTATGTGAAAGATAAGAAGGTATCTTTTAACTTTCTTCACCAACCTTTCGTTTTCTTATTTTAACAATTTTTATGCATTTACGTATTTGGTCCTTTGCACTCACTTTCATGTAACGGACACGTCTTTGGATACTGTCTGGTCATGACACGTGGTGGAAAACGTGCGTTTCGCTGCAAATTTGCTCAGACAGTGTCGAAAACTTCCATGCTCCCGTTTACAATGCATGGAATTGACTTGTTTTTTCAGGAGTCTCGTTTTACTATATGAATTATACAAAATAAAATAAACATTTTAATTTAAATTTAATGTTATATCTTCTTATCAATCCAGTAAGTTTGAAATTTGTCAATTATTAGCATCTAACACTCTCATACATTTGATGAGAAATAATTCATTAAATTTATTTTCTTTTTCTTAGAACATACCATAAAAAAATTGATCACTTGTTTAAAAGTGCTTGTTATTCTTACTGTTTTGCAATTAGCGAACTTGTTTCCTTGTCTTGTTGGAATCAAAACATTTTTTTACCCGAAAGTTGGATTATTATTCCGGAAACAATTAAAATTGGACGACTTGATATCGAAGGAATCGAATTACTGAGTCAAAAACATGTTGGGACAAGAAGCTTTGAATGTTCACGAACAATAGGGAAGAACACGAACTATGATGAATATATTTCTCAAAACGCTAAATGCCGATATTTCGATGCAATTTCAAATATCCAATTTATGATGTTTAAGGGCTACAATGTTACTGTCCACAGGCACTGGGTCTTCGGATAAAAAATTTAAAACAAAACACCTTCTAATGCCTTACCATTTTTGTAATGCCACAATCGTATCACATTCCATGCATAGGCATCACAAGAGAATAGATGACAAGTGATTTTATCTATGGTGTCCAAGGATGGGATACTATCGGGTCATTTCCCAACAATGTTGCCGGGAAAGACTTGACCTTGGAATCAAAAGTGACAAACAAAACACCTTGTATTGCCTTCATGACCTTTTCGTAATGCTAAAATCGACTACTGTTTGATGTATTGGCGTACGAGATAACAAGCTGCGCTTTTTATCTATGATGTTCAAGGAGGCGTTACTACCTGGGTCATTTCCTGACAATGTTGACCGTAGAATAAAAAATGAAAAACAATAAGCCTTCTATTGCCTCTATTACCTTTTTTAAATGTCAAAATTGAACGATGCTCCACGCATTCAGATCAGACGAGACGACAAGTAGCGACTTTATCTTAACTATATTTCTTAATAATGCATGAATGATGATAATCAAGAGAGGGTAAAAATCAGTTCAAAGCTTCTTGATTTCGAGTTTAAACCAATGAGCTATTACTAAATGATAGTTGGACTTCCACAGTAACTAAGTGGAATCGAAGAGGAGCATTGCTACCTGTTATTAGACCCACCTTGACAGTTTCACGTGTACTGTTGGTCATGGCTCTTTCATTCACTCTACCTGCAACAACAAAATAAAATGATTACAAGCATATCGACACTGGCATAAAAAGGCATGGGTAAGAAACTGGAAAACAATCTCATTTAAAACATCCTCATCTATCTGGAAAAAATAGAACATACTTGAGCAATTCTTTAACAACCATATTTAAGCTCTATATTTAACACTAATGTAATGAAAAAGGAGCCCAAAAAGGTCAACAAAAAGTAATGGCTTTTTAAGTTTCAATGAAAACAAAATGTAATGGCTAGGAAGAGCTGTTATTCATGACTAGAAAAGCCAAATTGATGTAATTACCTCAATCAACTAAGGTATAAACCTCCGAGATACAGAAATATCTTCATATCACTTCAATATTAGCAGTGACTGCAATTGATCAATTAAACTCTTCTAACATCCACTGGAAAATGAGAGACAAATGTTGTCAAGCAAATAAAACTAAACCTAAATGTACGGTTATATAAGCGATGATAATTGACAGAATCCCCAAAACTTGCGAGATAATACAATACCTGAAACTCTACATTACAGTACTTTTTCAGATTCTGGTGGACACGGGCACCTAGATTCAAATTGATCCAGGTAAAACATCCAGGGCTTTGATCCATATTTATGAAGTAATGAGAAAATAAAGCAAATGCATCCTGAATTAAATGAGATACCACGTCAAAACAACTGTATCACACAAATAAAACTTTATCTACTAGCAAATGAATGGAGAAAACACTTTACACATCATCCATCGAACAATTAAACATGAAACTGGCTTAATCATTGTCCCCATGCATGCAGAAAAAAAAATGAGGCTTTGATGCACCACTCCAGCACAATCCCACATATTTGCTCTCTCATGGTCACCTCATTGATAGCTTTGATACGATCTGCCATCTCTCAGCAAGATCTTGAGCTATCCAAAGTCCAAACTTCATGATACTTGAAATGCGAGCTCTGGACTCCCTAAAATCCAAAACCGAAACCACAACAGGAGATTAGCCATACATATAGAGTATATCCATTCACTTCCCAGAAAGTAGAAACTCATTCAAAATGATTTACAACAAAATGCTTGATTTTCTAAAGACGCCTTCCTATACCAGTCACTTGGTTGAAGATATTCTATGAAATGATGGCATCCAGCTGCTTGAAGCACCAGTCTTGTTCCCAAGTCCACGGTCATTATTTGTAGCTTCAGTTGGCCCCTCTGCTTTGGGTAAAGTCTTTTTCAAGGCAACAGGAAGAGCTAATGAAGTGGATGGCATTGCTGTACTGTTCCCCATCTGAAACAACAGCAGTTGTTTTAAATTCACTGACTAATGGCAAATTACATCATACGAGTAAAATAATAAACAGAAATGGCAAGGACCAAACTCTAAAGCATGCCACATTAATTTCAATTCACTTCCTTTTCTATATTTAAACGGGCAGTTTATAAGCATACATGAAACATGGTATAACACACTTCATCAGGCAACTTACATGTTTGTCGTTCATATTTTGACTAACCGATGGTCTAAACTGCATACGAACATCTGGACGACCGAGGTTACTTGGTCCTCTGTGTTCGATAACTTCACCTGAATAAGAAGCATCCTTGATTCCTGTAATTCAAAAACAAGGCAAGATGTGTTCCATAAAAGACATTCCAAAATAAGTTTAAAAAATATGTATTCCACAGGAAGTAACTAACTAGAAACTATGAAAGATGGAAACAACTACAAATAAGCAAACTGAAAATATTGTTGAAAAGTATGAGCAAATTCTTGGAGCAATTACCTTTAAGCTTATCCATAGTCATTGCTTGGTTGTTTCTTGTTCCAGAAAAAGGATGCAAATCCTGGAAAAAAATCAGGTGAATCAAGTATAACCACATAAGACTGAGTAAAGAAACCAACCAGAAAATGAGCAGCATACATTTTTGGTTAAGGAGGGAATTGGTTGATTGTTTCAGGCATTTGGTTGTACTGTTTTCTGTTGTATTCCACAGGAAATGTTTAGCCGTTAAGTCTTCATTGCTGTTGCTAGATTGGTTATCAGCTCAGCCAAAATTTATACTGTGTTAGTAGCTTAGCTGGTTTAGGCTGAGCTAGTTCTGTTGTATAGGGTTGTCTTCGGTTTATTTTGGGTTTTTGGTTATGTTGGGGGTGTTTATCTGGTTGTATCTTATGTAATTTCTTTTGGTTAATGAAATCTTTAGGCACTCTTTTCCTCCTTCCGCTGATTAAGGAGCTTCTCTACAAGCTCCTTTAATCAAGAAGGGGGTTTTTAACGAGGCCTTCAATTCCTATAAAAAAAATGTCATGGAATACTTGGGCCAAAAAAATTCATGAGATGCAAGTATTGAATTGACAGAACAAAAGAAAAAAACAAAAACAAAAAGGAATTAAAAATGCTAACAGATGATTGAGGATGTGTCTTTGTCCTTTGAGTATGCTGATACTTCAGAATTGTCCAGTCAAATATGAAATCAAACTCATAACCTGCCACATAGAATACAAGGAAGTTGGAAATCAAAAAATGCAAATATCAATTTGATGTTGCCCACACATATATAATATGTTGCCATCACGGCCAGAAAAGACTATAAAATATACTTGGTTTAGAATCTAGGTTCATGAAACATTATTAGTTGTCAACATAGCAACCCAATCATGCAACTTAAATGGAAGAAACTGAGGAAAATGGTGAATTTAAGTAGTCGATACCTTCTCGGCTAAACAAATCCCGAAACAGGCGCTTCAAGAATCCATAATCAGGCCTCTGATCAAATTTTAAAGAGTGGCAATAATGAAAGTATGATGCAAACTCCACAGGGTGCGACTTGCACAAGACCTTTTGAACATGAAACAAATGATAGGTAAGCATTGAATGATGCTCAAAACATTTTTTTTAACATGAACAACTGATGCTCAAACCATTTTTCTTTCATGCAAGGGATATATCTAAGAAGGAAATACCTCTATTGGGGTTGATAACTTCTTCTCGCATATTTTGTCGTACTTCTGCTTTTTTGTAGCAGCCTTTAGACCTTGCCAAGGAAGGCTAAATGAAGAAACTAATGAAATCAGACTTGTATAGTTAGGAGTGCATAACATTTGAATATAGAAGTCATCGTGATGAATTAGGTACAGATTAAAGCAAAACCTCGGGTCTTACAAGTGCAACTACAACCCCTAATGCACTTGAGTCACAGAAGAGGAATGGAAGTTGAATTGGGGCATACCTTCCTCTCAAGAAATACAAAAGAACATAGCCAAGTGATTCTAAATCATCCCGACGGCTTTGCTCTGTGGAGATTAAAGAGAAAATCACGACACCTTCAGAGCTTTGCCATGTATTAAAAAGAATAGGAAAAAGAAAAAATAAGCAACCATTCTTAGTTTCTTACCAATTCCAAGATGAGTATTACAACTAGCATAACGTGCAGTTCCTGTTAAATTTTTATTCTCCCTGTAATGGTTATAAAAATGATGAGCCAGGGACAAATAAAGAAAAGAAAGGGCACTAGTAAATGGATCAAGAAAAAGGACATTTTCAAAACTGAAATTCTTTACAAAATCAAACATAGAAATTAAAATGGATCAGAAACATAGCATCATCAAGTAAAGTTGTCTAATCATGTTAAAATGGAAAGCCAACCGGATATCAAACAAGAATTTGGTAATTGGATTACTACCTGTAAGGAATATGTCGATTTGTGTTGGGCTCACGATATCTCTTGGCAAGACCAAAGTCAATGATGTAGACCTGATTTTTTTTTGGGGGAGTTACAGAAAATAAATAAAGCAGAAATAAGAGAATATCATTTATGAGATAAAGTATCGATGAAATATACCTGATTTGCTTTCCTGCCAAGACCCATGAGGAAATTATCCGGTTTGATGTCTCTATGTAGAAACCCCTTAGCATGCATAAATTCTATTCTGGTAATCTACAACTCGCCAAAAGAAAAAAGATGTTCACACAATACGTTAAGCAAATAAAAACTCAAAAGAAAATTAGCAAAACGTTTTCGATGAAAACTCTCCAATATGAGCAATGCCAGCTAATTTGCAAAATTTTCTTGACAACTCTTATTTGCAATTCTTTATCCGCTTACCATTTGATCAGCCAACATTAAGACTGTTTTCAATGAAAATTTTCTCCCACAGTAGACAAACAAGTCTTCCAGGCTTGGTCCCAGCAAGTCAAGAACAAGCACATTATCTTCTCCATTTACTCCACACCATTTTATATGAGCAATGCCACCTTAAAATGAACGAATTTGTGCAAATACCAATTGCATTACAAAGCTGAAAAAGCATTTATACATAAGCTTGTATTCGCATCATAAAACTACCAAAATTTTTTACTTACTTCCTCCTTGAAGAATATTATACAACTTGGCTTCATATAACAATTGAGGATGTTTTGTCTGCCTGTTTTCCTGACACCAACACAAAATATAAATTTCATTAGGTTATATAGATTCAGTTTTACTCTCTTAAAAAGGAAGCTTTTTCATCAACATGATAAATCATAAAATCTTCAAGCTGCTATTCAAGTATAAAATCAAGCTGCATGATCAATTTTACAAAATTATCAAAATACTTGACTAATTTCATTTTCACCACCATATTAGCCAATTTTTTTTTGAAAGAATAAAAAATCATATAAATTTTGTGTTACACAAGTCAGCATCCTACTAAAACCTTAATATCACAGCTGAAAGTATCCTTTTAAAACATTCATAGTGAAGGAAATAAACAAAAACCAGAACTTGCTAACAATTTTCTAAGTGAAGACTTACAATCTTTACCGCAACAGTTTCACCCGTGTCAATATGAGTAGCTGAAACAAATCAAAACCAAACGAAAAAAACATAAACGTATATTAAATTGACAAATTGAGGTGAATTAACATAATCAAAGAGGAAATAGAGCAAAAGAAGAAAGTTACCGAGAAAGATTTCACCAAATGATCCACTTCCGATTTTGCGACCTAACTTGTACTTCTCTCCGACGATCCTCTCCATATATCAGCTGGGATTTTTTGTCTCTGGACTTTCCCGAGAATTAGTCGATTTGCTATTGGATTTGCGAAAGAGAGAGAAAATTAGGGCAAGCAATTGAGAATTTGAAAAAGCGAAGATGCGAAAGGAACACTTTAGAGAAAGAGGAGGAAAATTGACAGTAACTTTTTTTTTTGAGGGGGTGTTCTGGGGATTTCGATGAATTTGGAAGGATTTTCAACGTAGATGACGGAAGGATCGGAAACGGGAAAATTGGATTAGGGAGCGTTCTGAAATTTTGAAGAATGCCAGGGACGTAAAAGTAAACAACAGATTGGCCAAGGCAAATTGCTCAATAATAGGGAAAATTTTGTAATTTAGAGAAGCTATGGGGTTGTCATTTCATATCCATTTTTACAAAAATAATAATCTCTTAAATTTAATATTAATAGTAAAAAAGTCTAATAAAATTATTTTTAATAGGTAAAAGGGTACTTAAAGTCCCCGTACTTTTAAAAAAATTAATATGTACCGTAAATAATTTTTACATTCAATGTGACCCTCAAACTTAAAAAAAAAATTAATGTTGCTCTTTAATCAATAATTTCCATCATTGACTGTTACGATGTTAGCATGACACTTCATGGTACTAATGTGGCGGTCTATGGTACTAATGTGGCGGTCTATGGTGCTTACGTGGCAATCCACGGTTGTTGGTAACGTGATTGATGGGTAAAATTGATCTTTTATCTAGTTCGAAGATCAAATTGATTTTTTTAAATTCATGGGCTTATTTGATTTCTCTAAAAATAAAAATTAAATTACTAAAAATAAAAATATATATTATTATATTTTAAATTGAATTTAACCTAATTTTTATTTATATAAATCTATACTCGTCCATCTTGCACAAATTTTATGTTATATATTTACCTCTAATTATCTAAAACTGTAAATGTCTAATTATATTTTATTACAATTTTATAAAATTAAATTAAATAAATACTATAAAGTCTTAGGTATCTTATAAAATTAAATTATACTATAATATCTAATTATATAATTTAAATATATATAAAAATATTTATACAATTAAGAGGATCATTTTAGATAATATAAAAAAGGCCTCAAGAAACTTTTTGCCCAAAAAAAATTGGCATACCCACTAATTTCAATTAGATATAACTCTACAAAGTCAATATGAGTATGGGTTCTATGTGTTTGAGGTTTCTGTCACTTCAATATATATGTTTAATTTTTTTAAGGAATCTATAAAATAAAAAATAAAATAAAAATCACATTAAAATTTATATGTACGGACATAACAAAATAATTATATTACTAAATAAAATTAAAGTTAAATTGAAATGTGCCTCTAAGTTAAGTGAATCATTTAACAATAATATTTTGTAGTTAATGCATATATATATTTTTAAATTTAATTTTTATTTTTAATATTATATATATATATTTTATATATTTGTATATTTAAAATTTAAAATAATTTATATCCCAAATTTATTTTACTTAAATTTAATTTGACCTTTACATGATAACAAATGATATGTAATTATTAACAAATTTATTATATCCCAAAGTTGAAAACAAAATTGTTTATATGATAAATATGATTTTAATAAATTTCGTTATTCATTAAGTTTATAATATAAAGTATATTATATTTTTTTATTGTACATAAACAGAATTTAAATTTTAATTACATATCATTAATAATAAAATTTTCTTTCTATTAGTTCAAAAATATTTTAATCGCACTAACACGATTCATACCAGCCTAGATGTTAATTTGGTGTTGACTGACTCCTTGTTCTATTCCATCTATTTTCATGTGCACTTTTTAACATTTATTTCACGTGTAATTTTGATAATTATTCCAAAGAAATTTATATTACATATTAGTCAAAAACTCTGGAAAAAAAAGAAAACAAAAACAAAACATATATAGCTTATCGATGGAAGCAAAGCTGAAGCAGTGTTGGTTTCGGTAGTCGTTCATATCACCACTTCCTCGTATCTGTTACCTCACTTTCATTTTTCAATCGTCAGCCATGGCGATTACGTACACCATTTTTATTTTCTTATTTTTCTCTTCCCTACACCCCATCCTTTCTCTTTACGAAGATCAAGTAGGCCTCACCGATTGGTACTTAATATGCAACCTTTTTTTATATATAAAATTATTGTTTTCTTTGGTTTTTTTTTTTTAAATCATTCTAATAAATTATTTAATGTCAGGCATCACCAGTACATCGGGAAAGTGAAGCAAGCAGTGTTCCACACTCATAGAACTGGTCGAAAACGAGTCGTCGTATCCACTGAACACAACGTTATAGCTACGCTTGATCTTCGCCATGGCGAGATTTGTTAAGTCCAATCTATTCAAGTTTATTGTATTTTTGAAGAAGAAGAAGAAAAATCGTCTTAAATTGTTGTTTCATTTACTTTTAAATTCATATTGGATTTCCGGTTGGTTGTTTATGTAGTTTGGAGACATGTGTTAGGGTCTAATGATGTTGTTGATGGTATGGATATTGATATCGGAAAATGTAAGTATGCCTATCTCCACTTTCGCTCTGAGAAAATTATTTTTCAAATTTATTTTGTTTGGTGAGAATTTATTGAATAATTTGTTTGATTAAATGTGAGTTTCTCCTGTGCTTTCAGTAATGGAAGTTTATGGGTTCTTGCTTCAAAAAAATGGCTGTCCCTTGTTCCCATATGTAATGGGGTAAGGGGAGGTAATAGTAGGCTGCCCCCAATACTAAGTTGAGAGCAACTTCCATAGAAGACCTCCAAATTATAAAATACCTCTATGGGACTCGATCCCACGACCTCAAGGTTAAGAACCGTTCTTGCTTCGATAGCTGATTAAGTTTTGAATAAATTTCATTAATTCAGATGTCATTACTCTTTCATCGGAAGTATTTTAAGAGCATGGAACCTTCCTGATGGACAGATGGTGTAAGAATCTTCACTTCATGGTCCAAAGCACTCAAAATCATTGTTATCAATGGTTAGCACCAGAATTTTCATTTCCCAGAATCTTTCCAATTAACAATGTTTTGGCTTCTAATTCTATCTTCTTGACACTGTTTGTTTTCTGTGGATCATGGTTACCGAAAGTTGGACCTTTCAATGCTATATTTGTTTTTCTGTTGCACAATTAAGATTATTCTCATGAGATTTTTATTCTAAAAAGAATTTTGGTTGTCTGCTAGCACGTGCAAAAGAACTAGGATAGTCTATGCAAAAATAGTGTGCTTTCTTGAATATCAAGGTATTGTTCAAGTCTAAGTTTTATTTTCCAGAAAACTTCAGGTTCTCGCTTTTAACCGGCCTTAAAATCTCTCTTTTTAAGTTAGATATAAATTATTTACTCTGTTCTGTGATTCACGGTATCGATATTTTGCAGACAAATTTGATAATTGAAAGGAATAACGTAGTAGTCATTTTCAGCAATGGCCGCCTCCATGCTGTTTCTTGCATAGATGGTGAGGTTCTTTGGAACAAGGATTTTGAAGCAGAGAGGTTAGTTCAAATCAAAAGTTTTATATTCAACAGCTTCCCTTTCACTCACCCCCCCCCCTTTGAAAATAACATAGTCATTGATGTACTATATTGCCGTGATACTTTCAGCCTGGAAGTTCAGCGGGAAATTCAGCCTCCTGGCAGTAATTTCGTATACATTGTAGGATTTGCTGCACCATCCCAGTTTGAGATGTATCAAATCAATGCCAGGAATGGGGAGTTGCTGAAGCATGAAAGAACAGCCTTCTCTGGCCGGTTTTCCGGACAAGTTTCACTAGTTTCTAGTGAGACACTCGTGGCTCTAGATTCCAGAGGGTTAATTTTGCTAATAATAAGTTTGCACTAGGGAAAATTACTATTCAACATACACCTATTTCGAATCTTGTTGAGGATTCTCTAGGACCTGCAGTCATAATACCTTCATCAATCATGGGACTATTTGCAATTAAAATAAATGCAGTTACTATATTTATTAGAGTGATAGGTGAAGGCGTGTTGGAAGTGGTGGAAAAAGAAAATCATGAAACAGGCATTGGCGATGCTCTCTCAATATCTGAGGGCCAGCAAGCATTTGCACTGGTTCAACATGCAGGCAGCGATATTCATCTCACTTTCAAGCTTGCGCATGATTGGGGTGGTGATTTACTTAAAGAAAGCATTAAAATGGACCAGCAATGGGGGCTCGTCCAAAAGGTTTTCATAAATTATTATGTCCGAACAGATAGGTCTTATGGATTCCGGGCATTGATTGTGATGGAAGATCATTCATTGCTGTTACTACAACAAGGCACAATTGTGTGGAGCAGGGAAGATGGTCTGGCTTCAATAATTGATGTTACTACTTCATAACTCCCAGTGGAAAGGGCTGGTCTATTGGTTGCCAAAGTTGAGCTCAACCTGTTTGAATGGCTTAAGGTATGGAACATGAATCCTTTAAGTTGATTTCAAGAATATGTTTTCATTGAAAAGAACACTTGATGTTCACATTTGAACTGAAGGCAACTCTAGACTGGAAAGTATGCAACTCCTTTCATTGCTTTTAACTAGTTAACATATACCAATTATTAGTTTTGTTTCCAATAAATGTTGAAGTATCAAATCCATGATGCCTTTCATGTGATTCTGAAATTATAAAGATAGTGGATAAACATGCCTGAAGACACTAATTTGAATTCTAATTTGTTATGTTGGTTTTAGAAAGGACTTCCTTCTGTTAAAGCACATCCTATATTCATTATTTGAAAGGTGTCTTGAAGGTGCATTTTAGTTAATTCAATCCTCTGACAATGTGGTTTTGACAAGGTGCTTTTTTTCTTAAGGGACACATGCTAAAACTGAAGGGTACTTGCAAGTCCCGAGGATATAGCAGCGATACAATATATGAGGTTAAAAAGTTCCGAGAAGAGCAAAATGACCCGAGACCACAATGGCTTCCGGAAGTTGATCATAGTGTCAACAAGGGCAGGGAAGCTTTTTGCCTTGCATACCGGAGATGGTCGCATTGTCTGGTCTCGCTTGCTACAGTCTCTACGCAAGTCAGAAGCCTGTCAACATCCAATAGGATTTAACTTGTGTCCGTGGCAGGTTCCTCATCATCATGCTTTGGATGAAAATCCATTTGTGCTTGTAGTTGGAAGGTGCGGTCCAAGTTCAGA